TCGTGTCGTCCCGCTCTATCCCGTATTTCCCCTCTCTCTTTCCTCTCTGTCATTCATCCAAACCTCACCCTCGGAGAACAACCTCGTACAAGAGATAATTTCTCTCGCCTTTTACGTTAATTGATTATTTCTCGTCCTTTCTCGTTTTTCAAATATAATTGTAAACGTCCTTTAATTATTTTTCGAAAGTTGGCTCTATTTTATTTCTTTTACAAAATTATTTTTCTAAAAGACAGAAGATTGATAAGGCTGTTTCGATTAAACAGTTTCAAGATTTTAATCAAGGAGAGGGAAGACGTTGTTTATTTTTAATAGAGATCTTAGAAATTCTTCGAATTTCGTTGTCCCCGTCGAAATTTTCGTTTAAATATCGGTCCATCGGCGTGGATCAGACGCGATCATGCGACAGAGCCAATACGGCATGAACGAAAAAAGAAAAAAAAAAAAAAAAAAAAAAAAAAGAACGAAACGAACTTCCGATGGCCTGTTTTCGAACGATTTTGCGACAAAAGCTTGCTCGTTCCGCTTTTACTGCTACTTTACTCGTGTCTCGTTTCCTCTAATCGTAAGCTTTATCACCGTCGAGGAGACACGATTTGTCCATCGATCGAGAAACGAGTCGAGCTTGCTCGTAGTTGCAACGAGAATATATTTCGATATAAAGAGGGGGGTATAGTAGTATCTCGAAGATCGCGTAGACACTATCCATTTATTTATTATGAAAATAAGGAACGATATGCTCGTAAAGCGTATAAAATATGGCACGAATATTTTATAGAAAATCGAAATCCTTAAAAATCCTTCTTCCTTCCTCCACTTTCGATCGATCGTAAAATAAAATGTTTTATACATTTTGTTACGAAATTTAAATTTGGAAAAATCTGTCGTGCAAAAGGTACTTATATTCAAAGAATAACTCGTAAACTCCTTTTCTTTTCCTTTTTTTTCCCTCATAAAACTACTTCAAACTCCGTTCAACTTCCTCTGTTCCGTTCCCCTCTTTCCAAACAAAAAAGAAAGGAAAAAAGAAAGAAAGAAAGAAAGAAGAAATGCAGAAGATGATATACAAACAGAAAAAGCGGCAAATTTGAGGTTTGAAAACGATCATGTCCATCCGGTTTCATCCTGTGAAAGCTCGTAAAAGTAACAGAATTAGTCAGTGGGACTTTTATTACCTCGTCATAAATTTCTGCTGATCGGTGGATGGGCCCAAAATTATTCGTGATGTTACCTCGCCATTATTTTCCTCTTCCTCCCTCGCGCTTTGTATCGTCGTCCACGACGACGAACACCTGTGGACCGTAGTCAAAACGGGACTCGTCGTTTGACCCAGGCCACGGGCCAAATTATTACATTATTACGACCGACCGCTTCTTCCACCTGCATTACCCTTCAGGATAGGCGACAAGCAGCTGGGACTCCTTTTCGAACGTGTAATTTTTTTTCTCGCCTTATGAGCCCCTGTGTCGTCCAATTTTTTTAATCTCTTTTTCTCTTTTTCTTTTTTTCTTTTTTTTTCTTTCTTTTGGGTTTTAAGGAAATCTTCTCGATCGGAGAAGTTTCGATGGGATTTCGATCGATCGACTGGGATCTCGTCTCGCCAACTTTTTAGCGTGTAACCATTATTATATAGTGGATTATAGATGATCGTGCGAGCGTGGAGTTTTACGAAAGAATGAGCCTTCGTGTCGTGCAGTCTTTTTTTCTTTTTTTGGGTTTCAAGGAAATTTTTTTCGATCGAAGAAGTTGACTGCAATCTCATCACGCTTTTTAATATATAGCAATTATTAGAAAGTAGATATATTGTAAATGATCGTATAGCAGCGTGGAGTTTATATTACGAACGAGCTCTTGTGTCGTCCAATTTTTTTAATCTTTTTTTCTCTTTTTCTTTTTCTTTTTTTTTCTTTTGGATTTTAAGGAAATCTGCAGTTTTTTAAATTCCTTTCTTTGGATTTTAAGAAAATTTTTTCGAAGAAGTTTCGGTGGAAGGGATTTTTCGATCGATCGATTGCAATCTCGTCTCGCGATCTTTTTAACGTTTAACAATTATTATAGTAGA